CCTACACCATCGTCTACATGTTGGTTGGTCTTTTCACCTTTAAACAGGGACTATGACAGTGCAGAGGAGTCCTGTAGCACAGTGGTTAAGTGTTTGGCTATTAACCAAAGGTCATTAGTTTGAACCTCCAAGCTGCTCTGAGGGAGATAGGCTAGTTTGCTTCTATAAAGATTACAGCCTTGGAAATCCCATGGGCAGTTTCACTCTGTCCACTCTAAGTTGATACACTTCATCACTGTAAATATGTGTGCTGTACCCAATAACTGAAAGGCATGCAGAGAAGTAATGGGATACAAGTTTACTGTCTATTGGAATTCCTTTATTGCTAAGACTGTAGTTCCTTAAAGCAGAGCTCCCTTTTTTGCATGAAGGTGTGGTTGGAAAGTTGTCTGACCCATGAGTTATATGAGTAAGTGCTAGGTTAGAGACAGTCAGCAATCGGGGTCTTCATCTTTATATCACTTCTCCATGATTAGGTCCCTTCCCATTCCATTCCTTCCAAGTCATGGGGGGTGGAAAAGGAGGAAGGCCCTGGCAGCTGGAAGGGGCATTCTTGGAATGTGAGAATGCTGAGTGGCAGGAGCTGCGTTAAGAGTGCTGTCATCGGTCTGCTCTGGCCTGAGGTGCTGCCATTCCTTGGCATTTATTTTAAACACATTTTTCTTCGTAATTTAAGCTCCTAAACTCATGGCTAGCGCTTCACTGGCCATTCTCCCATCTTGAGTCACTTGAGTTCAGCCAGGCATTTTTCTAACATGAGGTGGCTTCTTTTCCTGTGCGCTCCAATCACAATCACCTTTACCCACAAGAATAAGCCTGCTCTGGCCACCTGGGAAGACAATCAGCAGATGTGTTGTTTTTTGTTCCCTGAGCTCTGTAACCATTTTCCAGTGAGTGACTGAGTAAGTGAGAGAGAGAGACAGAGAGAGAGAGAGAAAGAACTGGCCATAAAAATGTAAACCCGGACAGGGCAAGATATGACAAAATACCCATTTATAAACTATCAAGGGCTCATGTGGGAGAGGGGAGCGGGGAGGGAGGGGAAAAATGAGGACCTAATGTCGGGGGTTTAAATGGAGAGAAAATGTTTTGAGAAATGATGTACAAATACGCTTTACACAATTGATGTGTGTATGGATTGGGATAACAGTTGTATGAGCCCCTAATAAAATGTTTAAAAAAAAAAAAACAATAAAAACAAACAAACAAAAAAAAATGTAAACCAGGTTACTATATTTTGCTTAATGAATCCTTGAAAGAGTAAATCACTGATGGTAGTATAATTGCTTATGTCTGTGCCACACTTTATGGGGTTTAGAAAACAGAATGTGAAAAAACTCATCTATTCTGATATAACTGGCTGTGGTGATGGTTGCACATAATTATGAATATGCTGAAAGGCGTTGGCTTCTACAGCTTAAAGAGGTGAGTGGCATGGTATTTAAATGTCTCTCCATCACGCTCTGAAAGTAGGTGGCCCAAGAGTTTAGTGACGACCTCTTGCCTGGGTAGAAGGAGTGGATTCAGAAGTGTCTCAGGGTCCGGATGATCCTTTTATTTACATATAACGTTTACTTGTGCTAGAAGACCATCGTCAGAAGTGACTTAGGTCACTCCAGCATGACCGGAGTAAATGAAGTCCCACAACAGGGCAGCAAGGACAACTCACCAGCCAACATCATCTTGAACGGCCTTCCGCCTCGGCTCAGTTTCAGTGACTCCATCTTTCTGCTTCCCACAGCCTTCTTCCTACCAACGGAACTTCGCACCTACTGTTCCTTTACTCAGAATGCTTGACCCTCCTCCTCTTGGTAAATGGCTACTCAGATCCTTTCGCTGTCAGCTCAGACATCACTGACTCAGGAAAACACATCCAGAGGAGGCCCAATCCCCTCTGGTTGCCTGAGCTCGTGTGATCACTGTTGGTTTGTTTGCACCCACTGAACATTTCGTACACACCACTGTAACACTTGACCCAAACCAAAACGACCAAGCCTGTCGTCACCTAGCTGGTTCTGATTCAAGGAGAGCTGAACAGTGTTAGAAAGTAGAACTCCCAATGGGGTATTTCTTGGATTTAATCTTTATGGAAGCTGATCGGCAGGACTTTTAGGTGAGAGATTGAATGCAAACTGCCTGGGCCACGCAGGAGCTTTAAACATCACCCACGGAACTGTGCCTGTTGGCAGTGACATTGTGGATCTGCACATGGACCGGAGATCAAATCTTGTAACTTACTCCGTGACCTGGGAAAGAATTCTTCCATTTCCTAATCTTGGTGAGAATGGGAACTCTAACCCTGAACTCACTGGGTAAGATTAACGGTAACGTCTTTAATGCACTGTGGACAATGTCTGTGTTCCCATATTCAGTAACTCCAGTGATCATTACACTATGAACTTCTCTAACACCACGATTCAGGGCAACTTCTTATTTTTCTATCCTTCATTTATGTTTGTTAAGACGCATTATAAACTCAGTCAGTGCTTCCTAAAATGTATAAATGAAATAGCATCCATGATGTCCTTAACACAGAGACGGGCTTAATCATTTTGCCATGAATACTGGCATCTTTATTGAAGTGCTCAAAATTCTACCAGTCTTATCACATACATCTTTGCCTTTGCTAAGCTAGCCAAACTAGTATCTCAATTTATGGGTAACATGAAGCATTCATGTTTTGTGCCAAATTCTTTCCACATTACTGCATTCATGCCAGCTTTAGTCTTCACACAATCCTATGTGCAACACACATTATTTTCCTCTCCTCATACAGGTAACAGCACCAGCACCAGCACCAGCACAGGGTACGTCCATGACTTATTTGCTAGGCACGGTTCTATGGGCTTTACATGTGCTAACGTGCTAATCCTCTGGTTGACTCATGATGTGATGAACTTTTATAAGATGAGTGAGTGATCAAGCAGACTGACCCACTGCAAATTCTAGCAGTGTTCTGGCCACAGTATCACTTTGGCCTCCAACTAGCGTCTAAGTTCCCTAGGGGAAGGTGGTCGCCTGCTTCCCTTGCAGCATGCACAGTACCAGTGGCGTCACCAGAGTTAGTGCCACAACACCCCATCCCATCTCACCCATGGGCTGCTTCCTCGGTATCAGAAGAATCCTTAGTAATGTTTATGATCAATTTCAATCACCGAATCATATGGGATCTATGTTGTATATGGCTTTAAAACCCAAACCAAACCGCACACTCTGCTGCAGAGTTCATTTCAACTTGTAGTGGCCCTATAGAACAGGAAAGGACTGCCTCTGGGCTTCTGAGGCTGTAACTGCTTATGAGAGCAGAAAGCCTCATCTTTCTCCTGCTGTGGGGTTGGTGGTTTTGAACTGCAGACCTTGTGGTTAGCAACTCAACATGTAACACCATTCTTATTAGTAACACTGTTCTGTTATTAATCACTGAGAAGCCTTTAAAATTTTTTCTCTCCTTTTCCTCCTTAATCACAACGCCATTCTCAAGAAAGTTACTGATGTAGGTTCACATATATTAAATACCGTATGTATATTATAGCTAAAACACTAGCACATGTGACAAAACCAGCAGCTATAAAAACAAGGCAGGAATGAAAACAACAGTGTGTGTGCTTGCAGCACCGGTACTTGTGGTGCAGAGAAGCCCACACGAAGCATCATTTCAATGAGGTAATAACAGGTCTGACCTGAGCACATTACGAGGGTCAAAAGGTACACTCGCGAGTTTTAGCCTGTAACTGTATTGATAGATGTCAAGTGGACTTTGGACATGTTGTTAAGAGAGACCAGTCTCTGGAGAAAAATTCATGCATGGGGGAGCAGAAAATGGGAGAAAAGATGGACTGACACAGTGGCTACAATAATGGGCTCAAAACCTAAGAACAATTGTGAGGATGGCACAGGACCTGGTAGTGTTTCCTGCTGTTATACATAAGGTCACTGTGAGTTGGAACACACTCGTACGTAACGGGGCTTATGGAAAGTTTTGTTTTACCTAACGCCTGGCATCTTTTTATAAAAAAAAGAACTTCTGCTGAAAAAACTGCATTAGCATTTCATGGACAATTATTCGGTGTTACTCCCTCGGGCAATGTCACCTGGTGCAGTCCACCACCTCCCCCTCTCAAGCCGACCCCCCCAACCCAGTGACGCCACTGCAGAGGCTTGAACTCAGGTGACCGTGCATTCTACTTCCGTCCATGTAATCATGTAATAAGCTTCCACTGAGGTGCCCAGGCCAAACTGCCATCCCACGAGTCTCCTGAAAGCTTAAAGTATCGCCAGCACACCCATGGGAATCCACCCAGCCCTTGCTGTGCCATCCGTTGGACACATAGTGACCCAATAGGCCAAAACAGAACTGCCCTACCGGGTTTCCAGTGCCGCAAATCTCTCCAACTTCAGCAGCCAAGGGGAGTTTAACCATTGCGCCACCAGGGCTCCTTTGGGAATACAGTGGCCGCGCTCTCCGCGCATCAAACTTTTCTACTGCGGTAGCTCTTCCCCGGTTTCCCGTCAGCGTTCCCATGCTTTCTGACAAGGGCATAAGCACACAGCGTTGAGCTCTGGGGCTGGTCGTCGAGGCAGCGCTCGCGGACCTGCTCTCCTCGGCGACCCCAGCCCGCCCACCAGGGAGGGAGCGGCGACCCCCACGCGCCGTCGGGTCGCAGAGCCCCCCAAAGCCCTCCAGCCCAGCCACAGGCGCGCAGCTCTGGGTGGCGCGCACACCGGAAGCGGCTCCGCAGGCGTGCGGGCGGCGGCGAGGGTCCGAGCGGGGGCGGGGCGCTGGGTCTGCGCCCCCCGGCCGGGGGCGCGCACAGGCCGGGCGGGGCCGCCGTCCCTTCCCTTCCGGGGAGCGGGCGGGCGGGCGGCCGCACGGCTTCCCACCCCGCCCCCCGCAGCTCCGTGACGCTTCTCCAATAACAGCTCGCGGGGAGCCGCCGCTCCGGGCCCAGCCGGAGCCCAGCGCCCCTTCGCGCAGCCCGCGCGCCCGCCTCACTGCCACCATGTGGGCCGACGGCGATGGCCGCCTGGAGAGGTTCTGCAGCCCGGGCAAGGGCCGGGGGCTGCGGGCCCTGCAGCCCTTCCAGGTGGGGGACTTGCTCTTCTCCTGCCCGGCCTACGCCTACGTGCTCACGGTCAACGAACGGGGCAACCACTGCGAGCACTGCTTCGCCAGGTAGGGCGTCTGGGCGGAGCG